TATAAGCCATTTCATGTCAGATTTGAAATGTGAAAAATGTGAGTGTGGCAAGCAGCTTTTCGAGATAATAGACAGCAGTTGGTCTTGGATAACTGAAAGTGAATTTGACCGACCGCTGTAGAGAGATGGTGTAGTCAGAGCTGCAGGTCCAGATGCTCGGAGCCGGACCAAGATCATATAACACACCGTCAGAAATGAGGACAAATCCTCAGGAGCAATCGATGCAGTCTAGAAAACAGAATCACTGAAGCACGTTCTGCAAAGTGTTTACCATGCATCTTTAAAATAAGTTTACATGCATCCTAATGCTATTCTTATGAGTATGATTATCAGTGTGAAATTGTAAAATCTTGTGTAGAAATCACTCAGCTACAATCAAACTTGATCTGTTTCATTCTCAAGTGTAATATCCACACTTCTCTTTCTCTTGTATCTAATGCCACAATACCCCACTATACGTGAAAATACTTATTTAAATTACTTACCGGTACTTGATGTATTAATTTCATTCTTTGTTCTTCTGTGTCACAGGATATCTCAGTCTAAACCCACATAACATGTTCAAGGGTGCTTCCTATGAAAAAAGTTGCACGCATAGAATTGACAGGCTGCAGCTCCCTCTAGTGGACGAGTAGGCCTACAGGATTTTACAGATTTTATTCACATAGATTTATAGTTGTGTAGAGAGCCTACAGTCTACAGCAACTCACCTGCTGCCTCTGTAAAGGTGATCTGAAAACGTTTAGCTCCTCTCCTCAGGTGGCAGGTGCTAAACTATCGCAGCACTTGCTCTGATGATCAGAGGGATATATAGGCTACAGGAGAAAAACATAGTGTCACAGTTACTTTGCTGATTTGATGAATTCCACACCTTTCTGGACTGTGGCACATTAGGTTGAGCTTTTTAGATATATATATCGTGTGGTTATATGTGTGTGCATGCCAAAACCTTAAACTATAAAAGTGCTGCTTTATCCCACTATCACGTGCAGGTGGTGTGGGTCAAAACAAAACGAAAAATGAAATTCATTATTTAATTAATAGCAATTTAATGATATTTTAAGTTATGGAATGTTCTAGTTTTAAATGTGCATTTATGTAAATGCTTCTTTCAACAAAACCTTTAATATGTGTTCATGAATTGTTGATTTAAAAATGATTGATTTTCTTTTAGGAACTTTAAAACAGTAATTTGAAATCGTTATTACAGATGAAATCTAGCTGGCACAAGTACTTAGTGTATGTTGCCTGGCTGTGTTCAGTGTTTTACTCCTAGTCATTTTATCATCTTTTATTGTGTCTGATCAGTTCTGGTCATTTTGGTGTAGTGTGTTTATCATGCCTTGTGTGTGTGTGAGAGAGAGAGTGCCTGCTTGAATACATGGTTTGAGGACACAAGTGTGTATAATGACATGAGTACTACAACATAAACATGGTTTATGAGGACATGTGTCTCCGTAAACCAAATGGCCTAAAAAACATACTAAACTGTGGTTTTTAAAATTCCCCATGCAATTTGAAAACCAGTGTGTGTGTGTGTGTGTGTGTGTGTGTGTGCGTGCGTGC